CCACAGGCAAAAGCAAAGGCTGATGCTGGGCCGGCTCCGATGGAGGTTGATGCAACTGTGGCTCAACCGAAGAAGACTTGGGTCGCGATAGCGGTTGAAGGAGCCCGGCCGAGTGCGAAGGCTAAAATGACCCCGGTTCCAAAAGCCGAGCCAAAAGGGAAGGCAGCTTCAGTATCTGAGGCGAAGAGTGCTCCGGCTCCGAAGGCTGAGGCTAAGGAGACGAAGCAGGCCGAACCGAAGGTTGAGGTCAAGAAGGAGAAGATAGGCGGAGATGACGCTCCTGGCGGTAGCCGGGGGTCGGCCGAAGGGCAGAGGAGAGAAAGGAAATCCCGTTGGGATCCCGATGAGACTGTGAAGGAGTCGACAAAGCGGGAGGCGTCAACAAGGCCTGATGACGTCGACAGCAGACCAGGTGCGGCAGCGAGAGAAGCTAGTGGAGATGATCTTCACTCCGCGCTTGGCAGGTCTTCGGCAAAGGACGCGGTAGCGCCTTTGACGGCCTCCAAGGCGATGGCAAAGAAGCCTGAAGGGGGTGAGATCAGGTTGCAGTCGGCAGAGCGAGCAGCTGCGAGCTCGGTGGAGGGTCACTTCCTGGTGTTGCCGGAGAGTTCGGTGGTGAACGATTTCCTGACGATGTCACCCGATAGGGTGCTGAATAAGCAGGTCAGGGATTTCATCAGGAATGGTGAGAATGCTTCGGCGCTGGAGGCTCTTAACCAGATAGTGTCGAACTCTCGCCTCGGGAGAGGACGTCGAGATTCAGATGTGTCCCGTACTCCTTCTCGGAGGTCCGTTAGGACAGTGGACACCAGGGATTCCCGAGAATCAAGAAGGCGCAGATATCGTCCGCGGCGCGACGAAGATCGTGACCGGAGGAGGGACGATGCTCGAGATCGTCGTGATGATGAATCACACGATCGGGAGCGGGATCGAAGGCGAGATGATCGCAGGAGATCCGAGAGAGATCGTGATAGGGATCGTGCGCGGGGCGGACGTGACCGGAGGAGACGTGACGATAGCCGGTAGGCTGAGTCACGAGGATTGCGGCCGATAGGCTTGCGTCCATTCTCCGATGGTTGGCGTGGTGGGGAGGTGATGATGTTCCTCCCGAACCGCTGAGGCGCGGAGATCGTGTCTCTCCCGTACCGCTGCTTGGCTGCTGGTCGTGCTCACCATGAAGTTGTGTGAGTGAGAGGGGAAGCAAACTGATGGGGGGATACTCCCGGGTTTGCGAAATTCAAGTATTTTTCAGGTGCGCATGGTCAGGGGTATACCTCTTGCCGATAGGCAAGGGTACTGATGAACATACGTTATCCTTTGTTTTATGGCTTCTGATAAGAATTGAACTACTTGCATTGTTGATGCAAACAGTTGTGGCCTAGTGCCGTCATGTGGACTTTTCCACGAGGTATGTTGGACAGCGTTACCCCGATTAATTCGGGGTGGTGGCGGGATTTTAATGCCCGGGACGTCGCGCAACTGCCTTTGTGGGTTTGCTCCACCGCTGACGGCGGTAGTGTCCAGCTGTTTGCGGATACATGCGAGCAGTTAAATCCTATCAGTAAATGGCACGCTCCACCCGTCATATGACGGGCTCCTCGTGAGGGGGGTGTGATTAGCCATGTCTTAAACCATCACCAGGGATGTCGCGATAGTGACTGACCGGTGGTGTTTGGCTCAAGATTTATGGGTTCCGTCGCGCCTCGAATGGGCGTCGCCGAACCCCTGCGTCGACCGACGACATCTCGGGGGAGAAAGAGACCTCGGGCCGCCGTCAGGTTGGTAGGGACCATTCGTGCGGCCTGTTGTCGGTCAAGGTTGCGGGTAACCCTTTTCTTATTTGGTTATTTTCCCTTTTGGTTGTTGTTCTCTGGTGTGTGGGAAACCCTGATCTTTGGGACCGGGGATGTTTGCTTTTGGGGAACCTTTCTTTTGTGGCTTGTTTACCCCAACTAACCCATTGCCTGGGCACAGGCTCGTGCCCGAATCACAGTATGTAATGTAATGTAATGTAATGTAATGCAATGCAATGCAATGTAATGTAATGTAATGTAATGTAATGTATGTATGTATGTAATGTAAGTGTAGTGTAATGTAATGTAATGTAATGTAATGTAATGTACTGTAA